ACTACTACTACCACTACCACTAGCAGTACCACTACCATGATTACGACGACGACTACTACTGCTTCCTCAACAGTTCCTGCTTCCGCTATCGAGTGGCTTGTTTAGAAGATCGACGGTGCCCCGGATCTCTTGATTTTCGGCCCGTGGCTGAGGCGCGTGCCCAGAATTCTGTCTGGTGGCTGTTCGCTCTGAGCGCTCAGCGCACCGTCTGCCTCGGGCAGCTTCAGCAAGCGAGTCCAACGGGCTGATGAGTCTTATAAAAAATTCAAGATGCTGCAACTGGAATTTGTGGTTGGTAGATTTTTACAATGTTTTACAAGTCAGAATCCAACAGCGAAAGCTCCTGCCCTTTGAGCACCCGGCGCTTCCGCAATTTCATCCAAAGCCCCGCAGCAAGCATAACGCGGCGCACGTGGAGAGCACGCCGCCGCCGGCTGAGCATACGACGCCCCTGGAAAGCACGTCATGGAATCCAGGGCGGGGATGTAGATAAGTTCTGCATGCCACTCAACACCCAGAGAAACGGGAGCTGCTGCAAAAATCAAGTAGATTTGGGATCCGCTCAAGCAGCATGGACGCGGAACCTAGCTTGCAAAATGTTGCTGGGTGCTGTAGGTAGGAGATGTTCCTCGGATGCAACTGTAGAAATGAGACGCTTTCCAGCTGAGGAGCGTGATCGGTGCACGACGCGAAGAAGACAGTGTGCTGATGGATGCTGGATCACTGAGGCCCGGGCCAGCACCACTAGGGATCTGTAGATCTCCCAGATCCAGCATCTACGAGCCAAGACGCATCGGTGTGTAGCGGCCACAAAACAGACGCAACCGCTCGGCGGAACCTTGCATCCTTAGAATATGAAACTCATGCAGCTCAGGATTCGAACAAACCACGAGCTCTGCGTCACCAAAAAAGAAAAGCAAGGCTGGAGTTGCGAGTACTTGGAGGTTCATGGGTTGGTATAAGTGGGGTTCTAGGTACCCCCAAGATGGGGTAAAAATTGCAGATGCCCTACTTATGACCCTCTTATAACTACCCATGAACCTCCGAGTATAGGCTTTTCCATCCCACACAGAGAGCCAAGCTTTCTTTGCATCGCCCGCTGCCGCCGTACGCATAAGAACCTGGGTAAACCTTCGGGCTTGGAGGGGTCGCTGTTCTGGAAGATGCCGGTTACAGTCCACTGTCATATAGGGGCCTTAATCATCAAAATAAGGTTTTGGGGGCCCATGATGCTATATTTACAATAAGGAAACCCCCAAATAGTAGAGGTAATTAATTACTAAGGCCCCTATATGGGAGTTTCCGAAATAATGGGTACCTTATTTTGGGGTCCTTATAATAAGGATCCTACTATTTCGGGTGCTATATTAGGGTCCCCTATTTTCGGAAACCCCCATATCAGACTGCAGGGTGGGGTTTCCCAGGTTCAATTTCTGCAGGCTAAAGGACATTGTGATCCCTCGCAACGTGCAGCCTTTGCAGCCGCACGGCGTAACCAGACAGGCACCGACATGACATCTTGCATGTGGACATCTAGTGCTCTTCAGCAGCGACAGCCGAGGCTCTCTACAGGTATGGATCCGTCGTTGCCAAATCGGTGACGTGCGGATTGCCTTCCGGCTCTGTTGGCCGTGCATCGACAGCGTGGACAAGCGGGTCGCTCTCAAACTCCTCCTCCTCTTCCTGCGACAAAATGCCAACACAATGAACATGTCTGTGCGTCTGCGTGCGCGCTGTTTGCGAGGTTCAAGGAGTCTGGACATCGCTGCGTATGTCTCATGGAAGCCACTGCAGCACTAACATCACCCAGTCCTAATCCTCCCGATTGGCAAAGCCATACCATGTTCAAGCTATTTTCGAAGAGGTCAGGCCCGAATCCACAAGCCAGAAAGCAAGCCAGCGCAAATCCATCCACTCCTGCACACTCCAATTCCGATTTCATGTGATGCCAGCGTATGCTGCTCCAAAAGACGCCAACTAAACTCAGGCTGGTCCCACAGTGACGAAAACGGATCAACTCGTCAAAACATGCCACACCCCTAGCATTAGACATTGCAGGTGTCGTACCGCCCTCAGAATTGCAAAGGTAGGTCTGCTGACTTGAAAACACGAGACCGAGCTTCACGGCTGTCTGACCGGCCTCCTCTTCGCCCTCTGCATAATCTTGCACCTGTGCTTTGGCCACATTAGAGCGCAGACAAAAAGTTCACATCATTTTTTGCCACATATCCAAAGGCAAGAACTATGACTCCGAGGCACTATCAAGACGCCCGTAGCTGATGCTGCTGCTACGGCTTCTGCTAAACAGGACGCAGAGGGCAATGACCTCTGTAGGCTACGACGACGACGGCGACTCGGAAAATGTTGTGGCTGATGATGTTGATGCTGGTGAATACGATGCATCATGATGGTCGCCACTATTGGTCTAGGTTGTGATGTGCCAACCAGCACGGCCATGATAGTGGTCGTGCCCATGTTGAGAGTCCGCAGACTCCGACGCAGGGTCCCGGATGATGTCCGAAACCGGAAAGAGTTCACCTACGAGTAAACAGAGAGGCTTGTCGCACTCTGACGAGAGGCGCGGGCCACCTCGGAAACCGGCCACTGCGGAGCTGCAGGGCCTCCGCATGCTGCAATGTGTATAGTCATGTCGGATTGATGCAGCCTTGCAGGTGGCATGTCTGCTGCCGCTATCACGCGCAAATTTGAACTTGCCAGTCGCTCATGTGTGGACAGAT